GTGTTTATATATCAAGTGATTTAAAATGGGCCGAATAAGTAAAATATGCAGCTAGTAAAGCAAATAGTATGCTCTCACTACTAAATAATACATTCAAGTATAAGGATAAAGATCTAATAAAAATACTGTATTTTTCATATGTTAGACCAAATTTAGAGTTTTTAATTCAAGCATGGAGTCCGTATTATACAAAAGATATTAATGAACTAGAAAAAGTCCAACGAAGAGCTACCAAAATGATACCGGAGCTAAGACATCTTGAGTACAAAAAAAGATTGGAAATTTTGGGTTTGACTACTTTGGAGACTAGAAGGCTAAGGTGCTACTTGATCCAGCGATTCAAAATATTTAAAGGTATTGAAATCATTGATATTAAACAAAATCAAACAATGAATTCTATTTGCTAATCAGGACCTGCAGCTACCATTAGAGGAGCAAAACATCGAATGAAACCTGAATTTGTCAGAAATTGTTTGAAAATACAATATTTTTTCAGCAAAAGGGACGTTGATGGATGGAATAGTCTACCAGCCGAAGTTGGAAATAATCGTTGGGGGGGGGGGGGGAACAATCTTCAATTTTTAAAAAAAGTCTTCTACAACTAGAATTTTCTTATAAAAAAAAACAACAACAAAAAAAAAAACAGACAAAAAAAGGTCTTTTAGAAAAATAAACGATATTGTCAAGGACGGATCCCCAAGGAGACGCCAATATCGTTTATTTTTATAATATTTATTATATAAAAAATGTTGTTGTTTAAAAAAACATTACAAATATCATTAAAAAAAAAAGATTTTTCAAAAACTTTTTTATAAAACTTTTTATAACATTTTTTTACAACATTGTTATGAAAAAAACTAAATATATAGGGGAAAACGGGGCAACATGGCGAACGTTTTGAAAGCCATGAGTTATTGCAAAACTATTGTGAAGCAATAATACTTTCTTAGTATGTTAATGTTATTAAAATGATTCATTGCCAGCATGAATTTTCCGTTTGCAAATACAACAATTTGAAATAAATATTAAAATAAAAAGTTCATAAATTTGTCATCTGGTCACGTGACCGGGGCAAGATGACTTATAATACAATTTTTAGCTCCAATTTTACAAAATTTTAAAAACTACCAATAACTCTAACTAAAGTAACAAAAAATAAACACAAATTGCCAAAAACTACTTTTAAAGAAGTTAAACTTGAAGGACACCATCCATTATGAGAAACCGAAAGTGAGGAATTTTTTTTAAACGCAAAAAGTAAACTTAAGCGTATAAAATTGCGTTAATAATATTTCAAAAAACCAATTAGTGTTTTAAAATACAAAATGCAAATACAGTTTCATTTTCACCCAGTTTTAAGATTTTTTATAGAGCTGTTACATGAAAACCCATCTTGCCCCATTCGCCATGTTGCCCCGCTTTCCCCTATATTTCTTTTCAATTTTTAATGTCGCTAGTTTAATTTTTAATGTCGCTAGTTCAATTTTTAATGTCACTAGTTTAATTTTTAATGTCGCTAGTTCAATTTTTAAAAGCTGCTTTTTTCATTAGTTCTGTTTTTTTGAGATCAAAATAACTCCAAACCTTTGAAGTTTCAAGATTTGTGGGCATTTTTTAAAAATTAATTTAAATTTTCTGGCACACGGTTTTATTTATTATTTAACTCGTTCGTATACTGTTCTTTGGCTAGTTGTGCTTTGATTTTCCTTCCTTCTACGTTTTTTTTTGAACTATTTTTATTTCTTCCACGGTGTTGTGGAGACAGATAAATAAAGAGCATTAACATATTCTATGTAGGTTTGCACCACCTCACTGTACGCTTATTAAAGAAGATCTGGAGTTAGATTAGGGGCTACACGTGATATTCTTCCTAAACTCGAGTTATGTTTTATAAGAGCCAATTTGTTTTGCTTAATGTAAGATGTTTTTCTGATATAATACTTAATACTTTGAGTGATTATTTCTGTTTAAGAAGTCCATTATCTAGGCTTAGTTTAAATTCTTCTGGTGGTGACGGTAAAAAATTTCAACTTGTAAACAATGAAAATTAATTAATACTTATGATGGTCAAAAAAAAAAAATTATAATTTTTGGCGGTAAGTTAAAAGATGCGTGATTGACATTATAACTGTTGGGTTAATCCGGCTAACGATTTGCTTGCCGGATTGAACAATCCTTGTGGCCACGAATTTATCGTTACGAAAGTCGCAATGTAATTGTTAGTTAATTTGCATCCGAATTATTTGCGTCATTGATCCGAAGCGTTATTTGTATAAAGGGTCTTTCATCAAGTACGTACGCAGGTAGGGGAAGTCGATTTGCCCAAAAACGTACAAATGCGTACAAGAGGAAGGGGTGTTAAATACAGCGGGTACGCAGTTTGATTCTCGTTCTATATCTTTCTCTTAAAGTTTTTACCTTTTTTCATTAACAAAATGATTTAATTTCACGATTTAAAAAAATCAATATTATGTTCGGCAACAGAGTAATGTCGAATTAACTAATGTAAGTACTTTATGGATGCCCACTAACATTATTTCAAGAGTAATAAATACGTTTGTTCAATATATATTATATGTAATATATATTATATGTAATAATCCATTTATTACAATAAGCGTTTTTCTTTATTATGTTTAAAAAAAAATATATTTGAATTAATTATTTAGGTCAACAAAAAAGCGTGTTTTTTTTAACAAGCAAATAGTATTTTTTCTAATAGTATTTCTCATTTTAATTTTATATAAATCCAAACCTTTTCAGGATGACCAAGTCATCCCGGTTCAAATTTCTAACATTAGAAAAAAATTCCAATAATATCACAAAAAGAAAAAACACGTTAAGAAGAATCACTTGGTATCAATTTGAATTTTTTAAAATTGAAGCCAATTTTTGTCATGCTTTTGAAAAATGTTTTTCATCAATAAAATTAAAAGTGCTTTATCTTTATCTTTGAAATCTTATTATACCCCATTCACACCAAACCTGCATTTAAATAAACTGCGTCTTAATTGTATCTTATTATACCCCATTCACACCAAACCTGCATTTAAATAAACTGCGTCTTAATTGTATCTTATTATACCCCATTCACACCAAACCTGCATTTAAATAAACTGCGTCTTAATTGTATCTTATTATACCCCATTCACACCAAACCTGCATTTAAATAAACTGCGTCTTAATTGTATCTTATTATACCCCATTCACACCAAACCTGCATTTAAATAAACTGCGTCTTAATTGTATCTTATTATACCCCATTCACACCAAACCTGCACTTAAATAAACTGCGTCTTAATTGTATCTTATTATACCCCATTCACACCAAACCTGCACTTAAATAAACTGCGTCTTAATCGTGTCTTATTGAAACAATATCGCGAGGTCGTTTTATTTAAAATAGTTTCATGTGGAATTAAAACCAGTTCTAAATTTGAAGAAAATGAAAAAAAATATAAATCGCGTATAAAATTTACATGTAATATTTAACAAATTTAATATTTTAATGTTATATAAATTATATATATCCCGACGGGCATTTGTTTTTAAAAGTTACGATCTAAATGTATTTTAAATGTCTTTTAAACGTCTTTTAAACATTAATGTTTAAAAGACGTTTAAAAGACGTTTAAAACACATTTAGAACGTAACTTTTAAAAACAAATGCCCGTCGGGTAATGTTGTATAAAATTAAACAATAGATCACAAAATTCTTTTAAATAAACTAAAGATTTACGGAATAGGTGTTAGTGCTTTAGATTGGCTTTAACAATATTTAAATAATCGAAATCAAATTGTATATGTTGATTTAGTATCACCAGCAAATTTTCTTGAAATAACTTATGGAGTTCCTCAATATCAATATTAGGTCCTCTTTTCTTATTTACATCAACGATCTTCATAAAGCCTCAAAGTTAAAGACTACTATGTTTGCAGACGACACCAACTTGGTGTTACACCCTCCCCCACACACCCTCCCTTCGCCACGGCCTTCGCTTCTGCAAACGACACCAACTTATTTTTATCTCACAATAATATTACATTACTTTTTTATATTATGAATAAAGAACAAGTAAGAATTTCTGATTGGTTTAAAACAAATACATACCAAAATTTGTTTAGCATTTATTTAGCGCGTTGTTGAACGCGCTAAATAAATTTAAAACAAGACTTCAGCAAAAAATGTCTTTTTTGTATGATTTGTATTTAGCACTTTTATTTTTGTTATACTTGTGCGTTTTGAGAACGCTTCGCTGTTTTTGTATGGTTTTGATAAATATATATATTTAAATAATTCATTATTGTGGCGGTACGGTCATAAATATGAATCAAACATGATTTTTTTTAAGAAGAATAAGTTGTTGGTTTAGAATACAGAAGTGGTAATTATTAAATCTGCTGATCTAGTGAATTAAAACCATTAAAATTATTAAAAAAAGAAAAAGCGTGTCATGTAAATTTTACACAAAGTAAATAGTACAATAAGCATTTATTTAAATTTATTTAAAAATTCACACCCACAACTTCACACTCTTCACACCTGAAAAGTCACACCTGTTAAAACTTGAAACTTAACTAACTTTAATTTTAGATAAATCATTCAATAATTCATTTTAAATTATCATTCAAAGAGTTAGATTTTGAATTTTTGTGGAAAGTTTTCAAACTATTTTTTTGTACAAAAGTGCTAAAGTTAATAACTCTTACATCGAACCCTTAATGATATTAGACCCAGATCCAAACATTTTGGGTAGATCTTAATCTAGATTAAAGTTGGATTTTCTAAAACATTTTGGATTTGCTAAACTAAATTTGTTTAATTGAATTCGTTTAATCAACTTAATGCTTTAACCCAAGCTTTTCATTTTATTTATTTAATACTTCGTTAAAAAATAATTATGAAAAAATATTAGCAATTAGCATTGGTAAGTATATACTTTAAGAATAAATATTTATTTAGACAATATTAGTAACAACTGTAAAGAAAAAGTTCTTACCGAAATTTTTGGTTCTTGCAACTAAACAGTCGATGGCTTGTATGATGTTTGGGATCGTTATGTAAATTTAGAATAACTTTGTTTTTGTGGGCCATTTTTTAATTTTCACGGATGATACAAATTTGAAATTTAGCCTCTAAATAATGTCATTTCTGCATTGAAGCTGTTTTTTTTAAATGATGCACTTCCGCTTTAAACTTGTCCTATAAGAAAATAATTGTCATTGTTTAAATTTTTTGACTCTATTACAACTTTAAAAACCGTTATTCTTAATATTTTTAATTTTTTTTATTACTAAATGTTTATTTGAACTACTCTACATCAAGTATACAAGAGAATTCATTCTAATGTTTTTTTAATTCATTCTTTTTAAATTGCATGGTTTAACAAAAGAAAAAAAAAAAAAAAAAGCAAAAGTAACTTATTACAAATTGCTTAAACATTTTGGTGTTCTTTGATGTCATTTTGCTTTGTTACTATATAACAATGAAATTAAAAAATACGTTGCTAAGATACATTTATTTGATGTTTGCTAAGAAATCAGTTATGATTTTTTCCGCAACCACTTTTATTTGCGAACTAGTAAATTTCTCAAAATAAAAAAATTTCAGCTTGATTTTTCAATTAAAAAAATGGTTTGAAAATTAGATGAAGCTGTATATGCAAACGTGAGAACTCTCGGCCAGTAGCTGATGTAATCCTTAGAAACCGTCGCGCAGAGGTTTGAGAGTTTGTTTCAGAATCAAGTAGTCCGAGATTTTAAGCTCTTCTCTGATTATAGTTGCTGTAATAATAAAGGATAATTATAATAAAGAATGTTTAATGGTCTTCTTGGAGCGAAAAAAAATAATTAATTGGACATATTTTTTCTTATTTTTAACTTTTTCATTTTTTATTATTGTTATAAAACTAGAAATAAAATTATGGAAAAAATATTTTAGTAGCATTTGTTGCTTAGCCCTTAGGCTACTAGGTTACAAGTCATAAATTACGATATCTGGAAGGGTGTACCAAATACTTACCAACCTATTAGACCCTCTCATTACAAGCCGGTTCATCTCTAAGCAATTTCAGAGGTAAGAAGTAGCTATTTTTGAATCAGGACGCCAAAATATATCTGTTAAAATGAAAATTATTTTTGAAAGAGTGAAATGGTTAGTATTATATCAAATTACATAAAGTAACTTCTGAATTTTTAACAGTATTAACATTTATAAAATAAATTTGGTCCAAAGAGTTAGTCTTTTAAAAAACAATATATTTTTAAAAATGAAAAGTTTATACATTTTGCTGCATGGAAAATGTTAAAGTATGAGACCATTTAAATTTAAGACAAAAACGTTCTGTAACGTTCTGTTTGAGTCTAAGATTTGTGGGACAACATAATTAATACTATTGAAACTGACAGTTTCTGCAGCCGTATTCTCACCTCTCCGTTAAGCTTAGCCGTTAAGCCGAAGCGTTAGTAGAAAATATCTTTTCAACTACATTAATAAAAAAAGTTCTTTAAAAATATAATTTTTTAAAAATAAATGTTTTATTTTAGTATTAGTTTTATTTTTAAAAACTTATATAAGGTTTTCGTCATTTCTTGTATATTGTAATGAAGTTTCAGACAAAAGCTCCGTTAAGCTTAACGGAGAGTTGAGAATACGGCTGCTGGAAACTGGTATATCAAAATTAGGTCATTAAATCTAGGTAAAGAACTTCAACCTTTAATCAATTCAATCACAGATCACTTAAGATAGAGTCCTATCACCTTTTTTATCGTAAATTACTTTGCACTGTTATGTTAGGATTAACTTTTTTAAAAAAATGAACTTCTCAAAAGCAAAAAAACAAACTAATCCTACTTATTGCAAAAAGGTTCATATTTTTATTTCTTCGAAAAAACTGCTGTTTTTTTTTTGTAATAATTTTTTTGATTTTAATTAGTTAATTAGCGTGGATAACAATAATAACCAGTAATTAATTTTAATAATAACCAGTTACGTTAAAAATATCTTTGTTAGGAACGACACAAATAATTCATGACATTGGTAATTCTAGACAACGGTAATAAGGAAGTTTCGATTAAAACTTAAACCAAATAGAAACAAAAACTTTTTAATAAGTCATTGTCCTCAATCTGACGCAGTTGAAAAACACATTATTTATTTCATGACTTTATTACATAAGACCGGGTGAATAAAAAAAGCAACTGCTTTTACTCAGCGTTTTTGGATTTATTGTTCAGCTTTACATGAATAAAAAATTTGAGCAAAATCCCTCAAATTTTGGCTAAGTAAGTTAAGCTAAACTTACTCTAAAAACCCTGAGTAATTGCTCAACTTTACGTGGATAAAAATTTAGGCAATATTGCTGAAGTTTTTATTCATAAAGCCGACCTATTACTGAGTAAAAGCAATTGCTTTTTATTATTCACCCGGCCTATATTGTTGTCACAATATTTGTTTTGAGCAGACGCGTTTTATACCGAAGAATAATTTCTTTTTTTGAGGAAAGTAAAAAAAAAATATATATTAAACTTATCTAAATAAATATCTTATGATTAATTAGTTAATATATTTTTCTTCGTTACAATGGAAAAGAAAAATAGCCACGATTTTAAAAACAAAAGCGACGCAAATAAAAAAACTAATGAATCGAGTATTTCAATAACGGGTGGTTACTAAAAATTAAAACTTTAATACTAAAAAGACAAACTTTAACTGAATTTTAAATGCCACAAGCTAAATCTTTTTTATTCATGTTTATATCCATTTTATAGCTTATTTAATTCTCTATAAGTTATTTTTTTTTTTTTTTTAGATAATTAATAATAATTAAAAAAATAATGATGACCAAGCAAGAAGAGGTAAGAAAACGGATTTACGAGTTCTATTTGAATAATAAATTGCAAGGTAAAAAGTTCACAGTAGCTCACTTCAATGCTGAAAAAATCCCAAGAAGCACTATCTATGATATAATCAAACGTGTTGAGAATGATTCTGGGCACAAAAGAGTGCAAGGAAGTGGTCGTGTGGCCAAAATCATGACCCCTAAGAGGATCAAGCGCCTGAAAGCCATATTTGATCACAGTGACCGAGTTTCGATGAGGCAAGCTGGTCGAAAATTTGGATGCAGTCATTCACATATCATTAAAACTCTTGCCAAGTACACTGACATCAAAAGTTATACAAAACAGGGTATACCTCATCGACAAGAGAACCAGAATGAGCGAATCAAAATTGGCATTGATCGTCTTTATCGCGTTTTTAAAGGAAAATCGGTCATCCTTGACGATGAGTCTTACTTCACGCTGTCACACTCAACAATTAATGGAAACAGCACCTACTACTCTAGCAACAGAGACAAGACTCCACCAAGTGTTAAATATCGCAAAAAGCGCAAGTTCGAATCCAAGATGCTTGTCTGGCTGGCCGCTTCTGACAAAGGTGTTTCAAAACCATTTTTTATACCCAGCGGCCTTGCAGTCAATAAAGCCATCTATGAAATGAATTGTATTAGGAAAAGATTAGTGCCGTTCATCAACGCTTATCATGCCGATGGTAATTACATATTTTGGCCGGACCTAGCTTCATCGCATTATGCCAAAACCGTGACCAGCTGCTACGAGACTCATAACATCAATTTTATCAAAAAAGTTGACAATCCGCCAGCCGTACCGGAGTGTCGCCGAATCGAAGACTTTTGGGCTATTTTGAAAGGCAAAGTGTATGAGAGTAACTGGTAAGCAAAAGACGTGAAACAACTACGAACCAGAATAAAGCTTTGCCTGAAAAAAATTGACCTTAACCTTGTATTTTCACTTTTTGGGTCAACTCGTGTTAGAGTTGGCCGAATCCGAAGAAACAGACTGGTTGAAGACAAACTTAATTAAAATAAATAAATAACTAAAAACTCTTTTTAATGATAGTTTTATTTAATCTCTACCATAAAAACTTTGGGAGTAATTGCACTTGAAAGTTTGTCCGGATTTTTAGTAAATCAAAAGAAAGATGTGAAATGCTAGAAAAGGAGAACGGAAAATTAAAAGCTGAGTTTAAAAAAGTTAACGAAAAAATAAAAAATTTAGATCATGTTAATAAAGATATTGAAGAAAGTTCAAATGATAAAAAGTAAAAAAAATAACGTTATAGATGATGGAGGTCAAAGAAAATTAAGACAGTTGGAGGACAGACTAAGAAGAAACAATATTAATGGAGTTATCGAAAACAAACTTGAAAATTGGGATGATACTGAAAAAAAAGTTCAAAATTTATTCGAGAGTAATCTACGTCTTAGCAATATCAACATAGAAAGAGCTCACAGAACGGTAAAAAATGAAAAAAACAAGACCAGAACCATAGTTGTCAATGTTACAGTATCGGACAAAACAAAAGTAACCAAATAATGCTAATTTAGTTTCTTTATATAAAAGTGTTGCATTTTTTCAATTTAGAGAAATAACTATGTAACTGTTTAGAGACAACGTTCTTCAAGTTTTATTTATCACAAAGTTATCAACTTGTTTCTCCGCGCAGCGGCCTTGTTCGTCAAAATTCGTGTTTCGGAATTATAGAGTTGAGAGAGGGTTATATAACCACAAATAAGTACCCTCCTCGTTTGTAGTGGCCTTCTCGGTCTTGAGGAGGTGAATTAACAAAAAAATTCTGCACATTCCAGTCAATATGAGATGTAGCAAAAAGGAGTCTTTTCTTTTTGTTCTTTAGTGAAATCAGCGGTTTCTATGCAGGGTGTTGAGAAAACAATCTGGCTTCAACAGCACGTTGTCTGATTGTTGTCAGGCAACTCTTATTGCTTTTTTATCTCGACTGATGATATCCAGGGATCCTCTTTGACGGATCTGACAATCATAGAATCCTCTCGAGAAGTGGTGGAACGCAGTCTTCCACCTTTGTTATCTGCTGCCAACTTCCACGTAGAACGATATTTGGAACATAGTCTTGATACAGTCCATTTTTTTACGCGATTTTTATCACAAATACTATTTTGTGACATTTCACTTACGTAATCGCCAATAAATTTCTTTCTTAGTTCCAATCCAAGACTGTCGGGAGCCATTTTGCACTTGATGTCATAAAAATAATTAAAAATAAATAATCACGCTTCTCAAGGCCGTGTTACATTTACTTTGCGATGAAACAATAATGCTCTGTGGAACACAACGTCTGAATACTTCGTTTTGTCCAATACTGTACATTCTATGATTTTGTTTGATTTTCTGATTTTTCATGTTAAAATCGATTCAA